GATTGTAAGACATGAAAATCATTAGGATTATTGATGTTATTTTGTAAGTTATTGGTAATATGTTGTTTTACGGTTTCGATTTTGTTATTTTGATATTTTTGCATTCCTGTATAATTTCTATTTATTATCTTAATACTCTCATCTTCATGAAATGAAAAATATATTGAGTAAACATTGTTTTGGCACTAATAAATATATTCTAGATAAGAATTTTACATTGTTTAAGAGCAGAGTCCTGAAGTCATATGACCTGAGTCTAAATCCTGGCTCTATAACTTCATGAGCCTGTGATTTGGTGACCTTCTTGGGCCTCCCTTTCCTCTACAAAATAATTTAATAGGAGAACATCATTGTAAAATATTTTGCAGTGCTTGCCACATTGTAATAACTTGATAAATATTAATTACTATTATTGTTTACAGTAATTATAATTAGACATGATTATTGCCATTACATTATTTATAATTTCATAGGATATCTGTTCTTTGGATTTTTAAAAGAATTGTTGTAAAATCTGGTAAGAAACAATACATGGTGATAATGTATTACAAATTGCCCCCAATGCCAAAACCAACAAAACAGTTTCCACAGTTTCATAGCCTAATTTGTTTCTAGAATTATCTCGGGTTCTGTTGGTGATTGAACATATTTCTAAGGTGACAAAGTGATTTTCCATGTTTAAGTACAGTATGTGAATAATTTAGGGGTCCCATCAAGGTCTCTGTAAGAAGGATTGCTTTTGGAGGCCTCTCTTTCAGTTTCTCATCTACATTTTTGGCTTCTTTTTACAGAGAGAAGAGGGTGAAAAGGTAGTAAGAAACACAGAAGTAGAGGCAGGATGGCAAAAGCATAGAGAATAGGAGTTCTTAACTTTATTGTCATTCCTTTTCTAAAAATTATGTGATGCACTTAAAAGACATACTCAAATTATACTTATTTTCTTCTAACCACAAATAAAAATATATTTTACCTGTTCCATTACACTGTGACAGTACATCTGAGAAAAAGTTATTATAATATTGACTTGAAGACAGATTTTTAGTGTATATTAGATATTTGTAAATTAAGCATTCCATACTTTTGAAATGAAACAGACAAGATATAACCTGCCCCGTATAGAGAACATCTGCCACCCAAATGCTAGGTATCATTAGACAATCTAGAAATAATTTGGCAGAAACCACTTCTGTGCAATTTTTTAAATGACATATCTCCTTCACTAAAATCATAACTGTCTTTGTACTTTGACAAGAAAGCTCATTAAATAAATTACCTTAAACATGATATATCCTATTTTTTTTTACAAAGCTTGGGAATGCCATTCAACTAAAGACAGAATTAAATGTTTTAAGAAACATAAAATGCTTATGAATTTTGATTTCAATCCAATGTAATTCATGTAAAAAATTATACAGGCCGGGATTTTAGCTCAGTGGTGCCACCACCTGCCTCACAAGCGCAAAGTCCTGAGTTTGACGCTCAATAAAAAAAAAAAAAAAAAAAAAAAAAAAAAAAAATAGGAGACTTATTTCAATGGATTAATTTCATTTTGCCATGGTCAAGACAATTTAGAAAATGAACTTTGTTGTCAGGTTAGGGAATTATAAGGAATAAAACAAAAGACCCCTACATTAGTAACTTTCCTATTTCGAGGGCACAACAGCCATTCATTACTGACAACTTAAAGGAGGAAAGTTTAACCTTCCGAGTTTTCTTTTCTTTTGTTCTTCTTTGGTACCTTGGATTGAACCCCAGATCGTTGAGGGAAAGTTTAATTTGGTTCACAGTGTCATATAGTGGCTGTCTCCAAGGCAAGGTCATGGTGGAGCAAACCTGCTTAGTTCATAGCAGCTGAGACGCAGAGCAGGGGAATAGGGCTGGGGAAGGGACACAGGGGCCAGTCATGGACACCAAGGACAAGCCTCTGGGACCCACCCAGCAGTGTGAAGGACCCACCCTTGAGGGCTTCCACAGCCCCTCAAACTGACACAGTAGTTTATTTGATTCTCAAATCGAGTAGATATAGTATATTGCCAGTCTTTTTTATATATACCTTTCACCCTGTAATAATGATTTTTAAATAACATGTTTTGTCTTAGGTACCTTTGAAGTATCTTGAGTATTACTATATAATTCTATTGTAATTATCTTTGGTCTTTGAACTTGTAACCAAGTAGAAATATAGTACACACTGCACAGTTTTACTGATCTGTTCATTACAAGAATGGTTGGCTCTAGAGCTGGGGATTTAGCTCGGTGGTTCAGCCACCCGCCTTGTAAGTGTAAAGTCCCAAGCCTGAACCCCAGTAATAGCAACAACAGAAAGAATGGTTAGCTGCAAATGAGCTCTTAAGATGGTGTCCGTGTGTGTGTGTGTGTGTGTGTGTGTGTGTGTGTGTGTGTGTGAAAAATCATCAAATGCTAAAGTGCTTAGCCCTGGATTTTGTTATTTATGCTTTGTAGAAACTGAAATATCACCAAGCATTTCTCAGTTGCTCTAGGAGAGATAGGTTATATTTTCAAAATCAGTATGTAAGGAAAGTTGCAAATCTATACACAGCCCAGGAAACAAGGTCAGGATGATGGGCCAATGAAGAAATATTAGATGGCTGCCCTGGGCATCCTTCTGAACTTTGTCATTTAGTTTTGAACTTTCTTTTCTACCAGAATCTTGCATTTTATCACTTTCCTCTTCATTCTGTCATTTTTCTAGAGCCTTAGTTCTAATGTTTTCAGGCTGTTCAATCGGAGACAGTGAAATCGTAGGCTCATGCTAGATATGGCTGTGCAGTGAACTAGCTGTGTTAGCTCTTAACCAAGTGCAGCCTCAATTTTCTTATCTGTAAAATGGGAATAATAGCCCCTACATTGCAGCATTGTTGTAAAAATTAGTGATATTTTATTTAAAATGCACATACCATAGCATTCTCCTTACTTTTTTATATGAATGTATTTTTTCATAAATTGTTTCACAAAGCCCTTAATCTATCTCTCTCTCTCTCTCTCTCACACTGATTTAGTTTCATACCCCAACTCCTCTGTCCTCAAAGCTTTATTTTCTTAGTTCCACTTTTACCTCTTCCAAGACCTCAATCCCATCCAGTTTTGTCTCACTGTGGCTCAAAGTTGTCTTAATTTCATTTTAACTAAATATCAATTCTCTCCAATCTTTGCAATTCCTAACTGCATAGAAAAATAAAAGGCAGTGGGATATTGGGATATTAAAGTCCTTACTACTAACAATTATTACTATAGCTGATGTTTATTGAGTGTTAATTGCATGCTAAGTACATTCTCTATACTTTAAACTATTAACTTGATCCCAAAACACTATCGTCTCCTTTTACAGATGAGATCAAGAGAATGAGACGCTTAACTTCCACAGTAAGAAGGTGGCAGGGCTGGAGCTGACACTCAAGTTTTCATCAGAGTAAAACTCACCTCTTTCCCACTTGGCACAGAAGCTCAATGAACTGCTTCCTGGCTCGTTACCAACCTCTAGTCTTGCATTTCCTGCTTTGCATGGCATTTTCTGGAATCTTTCAGCTTCTCATGGTAGTTGCTCAGATGCACTGTGTTCTTTCGTACTCCGGTCCTTCTTCCCCCTCAGCTTCATCTCTTCTTGCTTAGTCCCTCTGGGACATTGTTTTCCTTATGACTTCACTACACCAGACCTCTCTCATTGTGGGCCATTTTGCTAGGATTACCCTCAGAAGAGATTTTTTGATTGACATCCTGGCTCTGCCATTTATTAGCTTTCACACCTTTCTGAACTTCAACTGGTTCCTCTATAAAATGCTCATAAAATATGATGTCCAACCTTCTTAGGAGTCTATGAATAATTGCTACAAATAACAGGTGTCAAATATAATTCTGGTGCTAATAGTATGCAAAATAATAATCTGCTTCTTTTGAAGTGTATATTTTTACCTTTTTCTGCTTCTGTTTCTACCCTTTCTCTGTGTGATCTGGTGGCCCCCATAACAGCTGGTCTCATTATAAGCAGTGATCTAGTTTGAACATTGTCTACATGGCCCTTGAGCTATGCGGTCTTTCATGACTGCTCTTTTAGACCACTTAGGTCCTTTTCAGATATTTGCAAGTGAGCAGACAATTCAGTTGCACTGCTCTCCATGAGGGTCATGTCCAAGAAACTTTCTGGGCACAATACCTATACCCACTTGGTTAAAAAACCTTGGCTAGCTGGATCACATAATAGTCTACAGAGATGTGGGAAATCCTTCTTTCTAATGATTTATATTAAAAAAAATACTGGAAAAAGTTCTCTGAGCCCTCTTTTCTCATTTTTCTTTGAGTAGAATGCTGCATTAACTATTCTTGCCTTTCCCTGTGCCTGCAAGACACGTCATGCTGATAACTTGCTACTGTATAATGAGCAGGGGGTAGCTGAGATTGCTGTAGCAACAGGGTAACATTGCCCCACAACTAAAGTGGCTGGGATATGAGTCTGTTGAAAAGTTTCATGGGGTTTTTAATTAGTGTATGGTGCAGTCCTATGTCATCAACAGTTCCTGGCCCGTGTAAGAGACTTATACCTGATGGTGTGGAGCACTTGATGCTGAACACTTTCAAGTGTGAAGATGGCCCAGGGTCCTTTGACGGAAGCCACTGCAGCAGCTGTGTTCTTCTGCTGCGCCCCTCACTAACACCTACAATACCAGGCCAAGAGGAATACTCAGGCCCCAGTGCTGGAACTCTATTTCTACGAATGCATATCCTGTGTGCCTAAAAAGCAAGAGTGACATTGTTGCATGATCACGGAACTTCTTTCTCTCTTTACTCAGAGAGCTGGACAGTGGTTTACATGCTAAAAGACATGTTTTAACTCTGTCTAGGAAGGACATACACAGAAGCATAAGGATGGAGCTACTGTAATTCTCTATGGGGGTTTATAAAATGGAACTTGCCGTGTAATATTGATTAAAAGGGTTCACAGAGTTATTGCTGTCTTCTAACACAGGATTTGGTTTATTTTTCAGACATGGAGATGACTTGATTGTGACTCCATTTGCTCAGGTAAGCACAGCTTGACGAGTGGGCAGACTTCTTGCGGACAGGGAAATTTAATTTGGGGTTCTAGTGCTTAATTTAATCTTAAATCAATGCAACTAAAAAATATGAATTGTGTGCCTCATCTAGTAATTCAAAGGCAGTGCTAGAGAATGTGATTTTGGCCTTTATAGACCTTTTTTGTATATCCCTGTGGACCCAAAGTGGTTTATTTTTTTTTTGCTTTAGGAAAGGCAAGTTGTCTGAGTATAGGAGTTAAATGGGTCTGAATTTCCTTAACTGACATAAACACAAGAGGCAGAAGACTATACGATGCATTAAGTTACATTTAGTATAATTAGGTACATGATCAGCAGTTGAAATTTAATCAATTCAATCTGATACCGTATTTACTCCTTTGTTCATGTGTTATTTGTACAAAGATTTAGCTGAGTGGCATGTTCATGCATAATCCTTTTAGGCATACATACTGCAAAAACATTTTAACAACACAATGTAGAAGCAAAAAGGTGATAAAATGACCTAAAAGGTTTTGGAACATATAGAAAAGTGTGAATTCCTGGATGTTTTTGGGATAGACCAGTGCATTTCATCTCTAGCTCTACGTGAGATTCACCTCCCATGCTCTTATCTCAGTGACACAACTTCACCCCTGATCAATTAAACCCAAAAACTTGGGGGTCCATGTGTTTGCATTTTTCACAGTGCGCAGTGTAGAAACTGAGAGCCCTGGTATAGACAACCAGGTACAGAATGGAATAAACTTGATTTAACCTGGGTAATAATGAAGGCTTGAAATTGACATTGGCTAATTTGAAAAATGCTAAATATTGAAATGTAAGTAATCCTAAGAAATTGTAGGAACTCTAATCAGAATTATGTCATAAATAGATGTATTTCCTTGGTTGAGTAAGTTGCTGAACTTTTCCAGGTCTGGTTTCCTCCTCCAGTTCTGATTACCTGCCTCATAACATTGTCAAAGTTGACATAATACCAGCTTATAAATGGTCAGGAAAGTTTCTAAAAAGTGTAATATTTACTAATAAATTATAACTATTGGTTTGATCATATAGATTTTATTTCTAAAATATCATAGATATTGTTTTGAAATGAATGACAGCAGTGTTTGGATAGTAAGATTATGTATGCTTTTTCTACTTTTAAAATTTTGTGAAAAATTTGTTGTGGCTGTAATTAAGACCAAAATTTTAATTTATCCATAGGCAATGTAATGCTAATAGGGATTTTCTAAATTAAGGCTGGCATTTAAAAAATAGAATATGCCTACCTCCCTTTCAGATGGCAGTTAATATCTTGATTAAGATTTTGCTGGAGATCATGATTTCTTCCTATGTCTTGATGCCAAAAAGTATAATTTTAACCACATTTATAAAACTAAGTATATTTAATTGATTATTCTTGAGAACTTAGATTTTCCTATCTAAGAGCTAAGAGATAGATGAATAGAAAACAATGAGGCCCTTTTTTTTTTTCCGGTACTAGGGATCAAACTCAGAACCTTGCATTCACGATACAGTACCAGTGCCGCTGAGCTAAATCCCCGACCCTAAAATATATTGAAAATCATCACAATATACAGAATCAGTCACTCCCATTCAAGTTTATTCAGATAGTTATTTTTAAGCTCTTAACACACTATGAAAACATATCTAAATATATTATAAAATTTGAAAAACTTCTGTATCTGATACCTTGTCTTCAAATAATTTTCACTGATCACCAACAAATAGGTTAATAAATTCTACTTGGTCTCTGCCATCAGTGCTCTTAAATTCTAAAAAAATCTAATCATTTACATAATTAAACATCTCTCTTGTACCTATAATCACCAAAAACTAAATTTTAGTATTTAGTAATTTCACATATAATGATGATAAGCTCTTTAATTTTAAAAATGTATATATAAATATATACATTGAAACTGGAACTTTGAATATAGACCAACTCTGTGCAATATGTAGACATAACTGATGGATGAAAATAATCCTGAAAGTCTCAGAAGACTTCACTTAGGATTAGTAAAGTGTCTCATTTGCCTAGGAGAAGGTACAGTAGTCATTGCCCCAGAGGCGGCAGATTCTTTTGTAAGTGGCTTCATCATACTTTTCACAAATGGGCTTTTACTTTGGTATAAGATCTGGAAAGTTCCACTAGAATATGAAAAAAAATAATGTTAAATCATGAACTGTTTCAGCACAAAAAAAAATCCTTGAGGGAGTAGGTAAGACAGAAGAACCAGTTAACATCTGTTTGCCCGTGGTCTTTTCATAAGCCCTATTGGGGTCACTACCATACATTGTTGACCTAACCATCAACTCCTAAATTTTTTGGTAATACAAGATAGAACACTTACTACTTAATTCTAAAGATTGTAGTACTAAATATTAAAATACTAAAAAACCCAGTGTGTCACTTGAATAGTTTTACCAGCATCAGTCGATCTGATATGCAAAAATTACTTTGTCCAATGTACAAAAAAGTGCTGATTTTAACCAAGTAACTCAAAAGAAAAGTTTAGCAAGTAGGCCAAAGAACTAAACACTTTTCCTATCATGCTTTAGGCTTTAGAAATTCATAATGTGAAGTGGTGAGAAAACCTTACTGCTCTCAAAATAAAATCTTATTGCATAAAAAGTTTAGAAAAATAAATATAAGCAGAATGAAGAAAATCTCCCATAATTCCAAGCCTCCAAATTATCTACTGTTTACCTTTACTTTATATCCAATTAGGTTTATTTTTCTATACATTATTATCTTTTTATGACTCCTAAAAATAGCCACCCACTGTCTAAAGTGGTAAAAGATCTGTTCCCAGTTCCAGTTTCATCTTCCTCTTCAGAATCTGTTTCTTTGTGCCTGAGTACATCTCTAACACATGAAAGTATCTTTCCAAATCATGGTTTCCTGTGAAACAAGGAGAATAAAATCCTACATTACAAGAGAACTTAGGACATTGTACAAAGATCTATCTCACCTTCTTATCTATGGCTGAAACCTTAAACCTTCATAGATAGACCCAAGTTTCAGAAAGATCTTACAACTTCCCTCCATGTCTTAGTCTAATATCAAAAACACCATCAGAGTTAAAAATTCACGCTACTTTTTAACCTAAACTCATTTTCTACCTCCAATTTTCCATTCTTTCACCTGCAAGGGAACCAGGATATCCTTTATCCCTAGAAAAAGTGTCAGCTGAAATTTGCAATTACTACATTTCAATTTAGTAATATTCCCTGATGTTTGTGTTGAAGTCTTTTGGTGTGAAAATCTCCTTAGGCTCAAAGGCTGGATGTTCAGAGGAACCCCTCTGCCCTGCACTATGCTGTGCCCGTTGGCCATTAGCCTCATCCTCCCATGAGTATAACACCTTGGGGCAAAAGAGCACTAAGGATGCACAGCACTACTGAAATATCAGAACCCATTCTCTTTAATCAGCTGCCTCTGGTCCTAGTCAAATTGTTTGTGATGGTGGCTCCCTTGTAAAACTGCCTTAAGTCAGCTAGAGTTCTCGTCTGGAAGTGTGTAATGTTAAAAGAAGTGCCATCTTTGAGGAAGGAAAAAGCCCACCAAAATATCCTGGATCCCTGGGGAGATCCTTACATCATTCAGATTAAGGCGCTATAGCTGACTGGAGAATATAGGGTAGGAACAACTGCTTAAATTTGCCTTTAACTAAACGGCATACAGCGTGTGAGACCCTTTTAGATTAAAAAAAAATGCTGCCAATTACCCATCAACTGGAGACTGGATAAAGAAGATGTGGCTTTTTCTTTAATAAAATGGAGTACTACTTTGCCATAAAGAATGAGAAACTAGAGACGTTTATAGCTAAATGAATGTACCTTGAGGCCATCCTCTTAAGTGAAGTAAAAAGGACACACGTGTGTGTATATAGTGACTAGTTTCTCTGGAATGAGAAACTGAAAGTGTAAATAAGGATCAAAATGTGCAATAGATAACGTGAAATAGGAAGAAAAGAGCCAAAGGGAAAGGGAAAGTGGGATATGTAAGGGAAAGGAATAAATATGAGAAAAGGAAAAAATGGAAACAAAGTCTTTGTAAATAGGGAGGGGTAGAGGGGTTGAAGGGAGGGCAGGGACATGGGGAAAAAAATAAGAGCCAAGATACATCATGTAAAGGTACAAATTCCCAGGGACGAATGTCATATTGTATACCTAAAATGTACCAACAAACTTAACTTTAAAAATGCAGTAGCTATGAATGCTATAGAATATTACTGCTCCATTGGTAATAGGACATTACCAATGTTTATTAAAACACCCTGCTTATATCTCTTTCAATTTCACCCAGCAGCAGGGATCTTGTGGCCTCATCAAAATCCTCAGGTTTGATGAACCATCAGACCCTCCCTGTTAGGCAATGATAGAAGATGATTATCTCATTTCATTTGCCTTTGGGTGGAGGCTATTCTTTAGCCTTCCTTGGTATAAATTTCAACTAGCGTCCTTTTAGATGTGTGAATTCTTATTAGATTAAATGAGGTGAAATTGTCAATAACTTTTTGGCATACAAGAACAGTTTCATATGAGAAGATGTTTGATTTTAAATCAAAATGACCTTTTATCTTGTAAATAATTCTAACTTGATTGCAGTGGGGATTTGTTTGTTTGTTTGTTTGTTCCTGAAAGTAAAACCTGTTAGGAATTCTTTCACGTCACATCAACTCTCCCTGGCACAACCTTGCATCTCATGGCTTGTGTTTTATCCCCACCTAGTGGCACAAAGTGTATATGGTATAAAAAATATCAAAAGTTTTTGTTATTATATATGTCCAGTTATCGTTAGCTTTTGAGTGAAACCCACAGTTTTCTGCTGATTACAGTGAATTCTGTTGGTTAATAAATTGAAAAGCACCTAAAAGGTCTGAGAGTTGTGTGTACAAATAACATCCCAGCTTCATGGGTTATTATGTAAACTATCTCTGTCTGAAACTTCTGTATCACCATCAGAATTTCTTTCATATATATTTTTTTTTCATTTATCATTCTGAGCTATTTTTTTACCTTGACCAATGACACTTTTACTTGGAGGTATAAAAGAGAAAGAAATTACATCGGTTTCTAATACCAGGCTATGTGAAAGAAATCCCAGGGACCTCTTTGGTTAACGAAGGTTAAGGCATAAAGAAAACTAAGCAGTAGAGCTCTGACTACAGCTCCTAGAGGGCTGAATTAATTCATGGGATTGAGAGCAGCCCTGAAGCAAAAGCAAAGAATAATTCGACCTTAACTTGGGGGCTAAAATCAAATAGTTTCCATTTCTCCTCACCTCCTAGAGCAGCAGTTGCCTGCTCTTTGTGCCCTGCAAATGCAAGGGAGCCTTTAAAAGGCAAACACAGTGGTACTTGTCATACACACACGCGCACACACACACGCACCCACACACACGCACACATTCCGTATTCAATCAGCCAGGCACAGGGTAATACCTCTTAAAAGATAAGTCTGAAAGTGTTCTTAATATTTCTGCAAATATCACATTTGTCATAGTGCAGAGGATAATGATTAACACAATCTAAAATGTATAAAATACTGTTTTTCCTACTACAAAAAAAGTGATGTAAGATTGCACACCTCAGGAATGATGCATCTTCAGGTTTACTTAGTGCAGCAGTGTTTGTACAAGCAAAGTTTAAGGGACAATCTAAAAGTCAGGTGTCTGGGGACAGTAGCTGAATGCCAGAGGGATGGGAGAGAGATTTTCTTTTTCACTTTTCATTTCAAAATATTTCATGCATGTAACAGAATGTAGATGGTGACTGTGTGGGCAAAAATAATACTTCAGTGAAAAATTTAAGAAGTAGAACAGATTTCAGTGCTGCATAAATGTCTTTCTCCAGTTCATTAATCTGCCTCTTCTCAGAAGTAATCATTTTTTATTTTGTCTTTTTTGCTTAATAGCCTCTTCTCTGTATAAATTCTGCAGAATGCTAGGACATGGATTATTTAAATATAAGTACATAAAATTGCATTTTAAAACAAAATAATTCAGTATCTTTAGTATTATAGTAGAGGAAAATGACTCTGGAAAATATTTCTTTCATAAAACTTTCCTTTCAAGAATAAACTTTATTTCAAATGAGCATAGAACATGAATTACTGTAATACTGTTTATGTTTACCACTATCGAATGTAGTGAACTTCAAAACCATGTAAAAAAAAACCCAAGCAAAATCCTCAGAATTCTGAGGTTAAAATTTTTGCATAGATAAGGGATAAATTCACTGGTGCTATAATCTTACTTAGAATGTTTTGTTTAGTGTGTTTGGTGTTCACTTCTTAAATCATAAATTAAGCCTATATGGGCCATTTATCCAATTTGTTTCTGCATCACGCAAGATTTCATGCCTCTTAGACGATGCCATGGTCTGAAGTCAGCCGTTCTCTATTCAAATACTCTACTCCGTCATAGGCAGCGTGACCTTTCAGAGCTCTGATTTATTTCTGTGTGATAATGAGCCTGGTTTTTCCAGTGACTGAGCTAATCTTGGTTGGCTCTTTCAGAAGCATCATCAGCTTACTCAGGGAAAGGCTACAGGTCACTGTTACAAAGAAGAAACAGCTCCCTCTGACTTGTTTGGAGTAATATCAATTTTCAAAAACAGACATTTTTGTCTTAGAAAAAAAAAATGTTGAGTGACTTTAGTCTAGATCTGTATTAGGTCCAAAAACTTTAGAAACAGTTCTGGAACCCTTGGAACAATTAGAAATTTGGGAGCCAGCTTGTTTTACTGATAGACATTAAGTAAATTCCTCATGTGCATGCCAGATCATTAATCAAATGAATGTTACCATAATGGGCCTGTAGTCATTCGGTGCTTCCTGCTTACCCGGCACTGTTCTTGGCCCCTGGCCTGCCATTTCATATAATTCTCGCAACAGTCCTATGAGGTAGATATCACTCTAGGTTTACATGAGAGGAAACTGAGGTACAGAGAGGTTCTGTAATCTTCCTAATTTTATACATTTAATGTATAACAGAGCCAGGCAGTTTGGCTTGTTATGTAGTACCTTATTAGGACATTTGATTTTTGTGCTTCAGATAAACTTAGAATGTTGGTTGGGACCAAGATCACCTATATGTGAGTTTCCACTCAATGTGAGTTCCATTTTGGGGAAATTTGGCTATTCTAGGAGGAAGGGAGGGGCAGTAGGTTCTTATAACTTTGTTCTCAGTCTCACTTTCATTCTCTGTGTACTTTGCAGATCGAATATGAACTTTTAAAAGTAGGGTGCTAATAGAGGTGGTGGAGGCTACATGTCCTGCCTTGTCACACGTGTGAGTGTATTGTATCAATGGTATTCACTTATTCAACAAATTTGTACTGAGCCACACAAAGTTCACAGAGCAGTAGTATTTTATGTAGGAAATAGTACCCTGACAACTTTTTTATAATCTGCAATTCAGATAACCTTGGCAAAATCAAAGAAAATCCATGAACTGGCTCGAGCTAGTTTTCTCTTTAAAAATCATTTTAATTGCATTTAAAATGGTACCAATTCAAGAAGTCTAAAGAATTCATTTTTGTTATAGGTCTTGGCTAGCCTGCGAACTGTACGAAATAACTTTGCTGCATTGACTAATTTGCAAGATCGAGCACCAAACAAGTAAGTTGCACTTTTTTTTATTTTGTTTTGTTTTGTTTTCCTTCTTGTTAAACTTTTACATGCTCTTTTCTTCTCTATTTAGATTCAACTCAAAGCAATACATTAGGCTTCTCTGAATCATTGCCATGTTGTCCAACCATTTACACTAAATTATGAGAGGCCCTATTAATTTTCTATAAATACTTTGAGATGACAGTTGCAATATCAGAAATGAAACATTATGACAAATAAATATGGTGATTCCATCTGCCAGAAATCAGTTGGCATGGTCAGTTCTCTGCCCAGTTACATATTTGTGCTCAGAGTAACTTTACAAGTTTGGTTTACCTCATAAATTAACCACAGACAAATAATCTTGTCCAGAATAAAGTCAGCTCAAAGTCACCTTGGTAATTCTAAAGCAGCAGTTAATTGGAGAAACACCAGAGCAAGGATTGTTAATTGTTTGCTTTTCCTGCCTCTCAGATCAGCAGCATTCATGGAACAGTTAATAAAACTGATTGCTAGGTTAGCTGTGAGCTGGGCTAGGGACTTAGCTCAATGGTTCCGCTGCCTGCCTCTCAAGCACAAGGTCCTGAGTTCAATCCCTGGTACCAGAAAAGCAAAAACTGAGATAGAGATTATAATCTGAAAGTCCTGATAAAAGAAAAAATATTTTTTAAAGATGGTTTGCAAGATTAAATGAAAAACGAGTAAGCTATTGTTTAAATTTCCCTTATTTAAAAGACACTGATGATAAAATATTAAAATACTAAATGTCAAAGAATTTTCCAGAAGATAAAGCTATTTAACAATTGAGGACAGTGAATAGAAATTTAACTGGGATTATTGCATATTTAAGTGTATAAAATTTTGCAGTATTCCTACTTCTTAAAGAATATGAAAAATCTGAATCTTCTATTCCATAATAATATAATTTACCTCCCAGATTCATCATTCATAATTAAAGAAGGTGGTGGCCTTTATCCAAGTACTTCTTGTAATAGAACATGGCTTTCAAAAATTAGTATAAATGCCACTATTCAAATGATTAGAATGGAACTCAGAACCTCCATCTATCTGTTGTGTTTTCCAGAAAATACTTTTTTTTTAGTTCTGTCCCCTCAGTCTACACAGTTTTCATCTTTTCCTCTCCTCATGTATTGGGCTAACTGCAGTTTATCTTTATGTTGCAACTTAAATTTAATTGCACTGGGGACGTGGGGACATTGTCCCTGGCTCTACCTGACATAGACACACACCCACAAGTCCAAACTAGCTAATATGACTCCCTATCTCCATTTGATGGCATCCTGTATGAACTGCCTCTCTGCTGTCTCTCTCCTATTGGTTTGTTTGCCTGATCTATCCAGTGCCAATTCCCAGTGAGCCGGAGTAGTAGTTGGTTCACATCTGTATTCCCAGTGCCTATCATAATACAGAGTAACCATGCTGCAAATGCTTGTTGGCTGGAAGTATAAAGTGGTAACTCAGCGTGTGAAACCTGAGGGAGTGCTTTGAGGAATCTATTCTTTGTCAATTATGTTTTCTGTGCCATGTGGATAGTTGTACACTATCATGCCGACCTCAACTGTCACGTGGGGCTTTTGTCATTCCATAGCTTAGAAGTGTATCACCTCACCTCAGAAAAGGCTCGGATCTGCAAGAAAAAAGGAATTGTTGGTTGTTGCTCTCAAACATTTTAGTCTCAAATTTCTTGTAAAATATCAAGGTCTTATCTTTGAAAACAAACCAGAAACTAAATCTCTTTAAACTTCTTTCAGATATGGTCACCTGGTATAAGCATCTAAACCTACAGCAAGGCGATAGTTAATCAGACAGGTGTGAAAGAATCACACTTTTCTGAGGTGCATTCTATGCAAGGCAGAAGTTTTCAATTGCTATATAGCAACAAACAGTTTAAAATGGAAAAAACAAAACAGGAATTCACAGCTAAGAGCCTTGACCATCTGTACAGTGGGTAGGGTGACTGACATCTAACCAAATAGTATTATCTGCCAAAATCTAAGTGGAGGCTGATATAGTTTTTCTTGTGATCATTGAAGATCTGTCCATATCTTCTTTATTGATTCAAACCAAATTAGTTGGTGGAGAGTTAGAATGGTAGGATCCCTTCTCTACAAAGCCAAGCAGTGTAATATTCAGTGACAGCAAGGAGAACATAACTCTGGCACATTGCTTGATGACTCTGAAGGAATCAATCTGACTGCTAGGAACTTACAAAAACACCTCCAGGGTCACCACTGGAGTTTGAGAAAGATGTGTGGTGTCTTGGACCTTTTTATTTGCTAGGAAAGGAGTCAAAGTTCAAAACCCAGGTGATGCATTAGTCAATTTTGCTGTTACTGGAACAAAATATCTGAGACCCATAAGTTAAAGGAGGAGAGTTTTTTGGGTTTTTTTTTTGCTCGTGGTTTTAGAGATTTCAATCCATCACTGGAAAGTAGGAATATCATGGTGGAAGATGTGGTGAAGCAAATCTATTTACTTCATGGTCAAAAACGGGAGAGGGGAAGAGCACCAGTGAGAGATACACTTATACCTTCCAAAGGAACAGCCCTAGTGATCCAACAAGGTCCTGAGTGTCAATAGCTATGAACATTAGTGTGTAGATCCACTAAAAGGCACAGCATCCCCAAGATCCAGTCACCTCTCCTGGAGTCCCTTAATCCAGTCAGGTTGGTGCCTGACTGACAGGTGAATATTCCGATAGACATTTCAAATTAACACTCTGCGGGTGCCTATCACCTGGCTCTCTTTTGCTCCTGAGATTCTTTTATTCCAGAAGGGAACTGTGGCTCATCCTTCATAAATGATGGATCAATGTGACTGTGGATTAATATTTTCTGCTTGCTGTTACTTGTTGGGGTGTCAAGTTCCTGAGTAGGATTGTAGGATTGATAGAAAGAGAACATAATTAGAAGAGTCAAAAATTGAGCTTTTCAAAACTAGAAAAGCATAGAAATACACTCATTTGATATTTTTCAAGATGAAAGTAAATGTTTTTTTCTAAATTTTAAGAACTAAAACACAGCAATCTATATGTAAATTATTTGAATAAGTTCTAGGCACGACCATACCACCTTGAACATAGTTGACCTCATCTGAATAGTAAACCCTCAGCAAGAATATGAACTCCTGCTGGAATTAGAGGTTCCATTTGACCCAGCCATCCCTCTGCTGGGTATCTTTCCAAAAGAATTAAAAGATTCATATCACAGTGCTATATGTGCACCTATGTTTATACCGGCACAGTTTGTAATAGCTAAAGCTTGGAAACAGCCCTTTTGCCCATCAGTTGGAGACCGGATAAAGAAAATGTGGTTTTTTTATGAAATGGAATACTACTCAGTCATAAAGAATGAGAAATTAGAGTCATTCATAGGAAAATGGATACATATTGAGGATATACTCCTAAGTGAAATAAATAAGTCACACATGTATAAATACCAAATAGTTTCTCTGGTATGAAAAACTATAATGGTACATAAGATCCTAATGATATAATTGACCACGTGAAATAGGAAGAAAGGGGCTAAAGGTGCAAGGAAAGTGGGAAGGGTAGGGGAAAGGTAATAAGGGAAAAAAATGAGAAAATGAAAAAATGGAAATAAAGTATTTGTAAATAGGGAAGGGAGGAGGGGGTGAAAGGAGGGCATGGATAAGGGGAAAAATGAGAACCAAGACCTGTCATGTAAAGGTACAAGATCCCAATGATGAATGTAACTGTACTGTATACCTAAAATGTACCAATAAACTCAATGAGAAAAAAAAAAGAATATTAACTTCTAATATATAGACCAGAGCTATTTCTGGGCAACATTTTATGGCACTGAAATTTTTGTTTTGTGAAGCATTTATCAAATTCAAATTTTTTTAAAAACTAAGTTAATTTAGAACCAAGTCCAGGTACACTATCAACCAAACACAAAATTTCAACCCAGAAGTTACCCCATATATCTTACAACGATTCATGGTCAGAGGTGTAGTGGAGCCAGTGAGGATTTGCACAGTGCCAGATGTTAGCCCCCCAGGACCTCCAGAGCTACTGGGATACTCATTGTCCTAGCAAAGCAGGTTGAAAGAGCCAGCCACCATCCACACATACATGTGGCCGTCCATTCAATGTTCCTAAATATCCCAGTGACAAAACAGCAGCGCTGAATGCATCACCAAGATTATATCACTTCAATTCACATCTCAGCTCTCTTACTTTGAGCACATTTCACTTCCCAAAGCTTTATTTTTCCCTCAAAAAGAGTCTACCTTCCTTGAGGTTGCTGTAAGGATGAAGTAAGGTAATTTTTTAGACCATGTGTTTAGTACCACATCTGACACATGCTAAGCGCTCATCAAGTATTAGCCACTAGAAGAAGCACACATGCAAACTTCATAGATTTTTGCAGACATCCTTCGATATATCTATTCTTAGTGTTTTGAAAGATTGCTATCATTGGAAAGCTGCCAGATTTAAGTAATATCTCTGTGAAGTTACATTTCAGAAAACTTTAATGGAATTTCCATAAATGATATTTTTTTCAACATAATATACTAATTTAATATGGATGCATTGTGCAGCACTCATAGGAAATACAGGTTAATCATGTACCATCATTTTTTACTTTGAGGTTTTTATAATCATCTTCCAGAACTCAGCAAAGATCTGAAAAAAGCAGAGAATACCAGATAGAATCTCTTTAAGTACCTTTGGTTAATAATACAGTATTTCTAAAATCTCTATAGTATCTATTTAGATAAGTTAACATACCTCTCTGATATACACGTCAGAGCTACGTCTCACTATAACAATATAGGAAAAAGTTTAAATGCCTCCTCTGTAAGATAAGCTTTGATCTTGGCATATGTGTTTTGAGATATGAATTGCCTTTAGAATGCTTGCATTTTGAATCCACATTTGGCTATAAGGAATTATTTGCTTTGATAATATACAGACAATTTGTGCCAAAAATAAAAGTCGCTTAGCACTGCATTAGGAAAACCAATTATGAATTGACTGCTTTTTCAAATTCAAATATTCTGCATTTATTTTGGAAGTCCTGGCCTAATAGAATAAATCAACCAATAAGAATTTACTCTTCTGTTATGTCTCTGTGACATTTACATCAGTTTAATCTACCCTGAGGTCCAACACCATGAGATTTTGACTGGGTTGTTTGCTTTTCCCCCCTGACATGATCTGAAACTGTGGTAAAAAGTCACCGAGGGACTCGGCTGGCTAGTCTGAAATACATTTTAATGTGCATGTCCTAAGTTAAAAACAATCCTTTTAACTAATATCTTTTTAAAAGTATATCTGAAATGTCTCAAAGATTACTCAGATCCTAAGCATCATGTATTTCTCTTTGACAGAAGATCACCCATGTGTAACCAACCATCCATCAACAAAGCTACCATAACAGGTAAGAGGGATCTGGGCATTTATTCTTTTCATGTCTAAGGACATTATCTTCTAAGAATCAACATAATACTACCATTAGCTTATACTACAATACTAAAATGTTAAAGAAATGATTTTTTTCTCTACATTATCCTTACTATCATTGATGTCACAGCTTACCCATTTAAGCTGTTCCTTAGAAAATCTTTACTAATTTTCTGTATTTTTAACCGTTTCACTTTGTGTTTGGACTCAGTTTAGCTTCGATCTTGGCATTTGTGTTTTGAGATATGCGTTGCCTTTAGAATGTTTGCCATTTTGAATCCACATTTGGCTACCAGCCTGGTCTTAATATAATTCTTAGTTTTATGTAAGTAAAAGCACAGATAAAGAACTAAGTTTTTGTTCAACCCATTGTTACGCCAGTTGGGTTTCAGAAGGGACATCATTACTATACCCCAGTAGTCTTTGTCGGGATTAAGAGAGCTGAGAAATTCAATTTGTGAGGTTTTGTAATTCAGATACCTCCAATAAGATCCAAAGAAAAAGATACGTGGATGTTTGACAGGAAAAAGTGGAAGGAAGGATGAGTGGAGTCAAGTATATCCATATAAAATAATGCAAATTCGTGTTAGTCTGTTTTCCGTAAGAGACTTGACCCCAGTTGCACCAAAAGCAGAATAAATGATCTCATTTTGCTGACTCTGAAACTGAATTAAATTTAATAACTTCTTGAAACTGCAATTGATTCATTAAAATAATGGCCTAAAAAAGAAAACCTATGACTTCTAATAGTCTTATCAGAAGAAAATTAACATGCCTTCCAAAGCAGACCAATACTTCCTTTGGTTCTAACGTCCCTTTTGGACCCCAACCCATAATATGATGAGGAGCTCTTATCAAGTTTTCAGTAAGTAAACTGTGCCTGAAATGTTACTTTGTCATGTCCAGTCAAATGTTCCCATATGTGGTCATCATACATGACTTGATTCTGGAACAATTTTTAATTTTGTCTTCCAAGAGCCTATCAACTGGAATTTGTATTTCAATGGCTATTTAATTATAGTTTCTCTTTTCCATGTTTCCATTTCAAGTTCTTTTCGGTGATAATTTATCCATTGTCTTTTCATAGTGTACATACAGTTTACCAGTTTTGGTATTGATGTTGATCAAAAGAGTGGCAACAAAAAGTCCTATATACCAAAATAAATTATTTGAGTAACAAATTTCTTCTTTAGAAACTAGATTTCAATATAAATGAGCCTAAACTAAGATGGAGGTTGGAACTGAATCCCTTACTTCTGTATATTTTCCTGAGCCTGCTGGGGAGTGGGTAGGCCCACTTTGGGGGCCATATGCCTGGGTTTTCTAGTAAAAGAAGGGCTGCTCCAGACTTTCAGGGTACCCAAAAGGTACCACTCCTCCCTCCCTCCCATTTGTACAATAGGACAGACTTTGTGGTTTGAGAAGAATACAGTGCTAGCTTGGTCTTTGGCAGCTTTTTTTAAGCTCTAAAGGTCATATAAGAATCTTCACGGGAGAGACAGCATCCTTCTAGAAGAACATCTGTATGTAGCAGTGGAAATTGTGTCCGATAGAGATGGTTGGGTTCTGCCCAGCTCAGATTCACAGGAAAAGCTACTCTCAGAGGGTACAAACTTGGTCATACCTACTTGGGAGAGGACCCATGGAAGTTCCTAGATATTTTTTTACAAAATATTGAACCACTGGGGCAATGCCCGGAGAGGGGTCTAAGAGCCACTGGAACCAGGCAATTGAGGTTAGCATTGTACCCACTCAACCCTGAGCTGAGACCTATAGTGGAGGTACAGGGTTCATTATATGCCTACAGCTTCCCTTACCTGGGAAGGGAAACAAATTACACTAACTGTCATTAACTCCTTAGAGCAGATGTGCTTATAAAAAAAGAAAAGCCCAACAAGAAATTGCCTAAATTCTCCTAACATTGAAAACCAAGGTAAGAACTTGGGATGGGGTGCCTGGGAATGAGGGACATAACCAGGGAAAGCTCCCTTTCTCTGAGTTCATTCTTTAAAAAAGGGGATCCTTAAAACCTAAATAGTAAAAATGCTATGAATATTGGTGGTTGAGATTTTGACAGTAGTAAGACTTGAGACACCTGGAGAAGATGGCACTTGGACATTCCTCCATGCTCATCACCCCTGCTGCTGGAACCGAGCAATGCCTCCACAACATACCTGGGAAGGGCACAGAGGGGTTACAAAGAGTCTGTGAGGCACCCTTCAGGTGAATGAGGCCTTCTTAGAAATTTGGTTCAAGATTTACAGCAATGGTACAGCCTAATATTGATGGTTGTGGCTGAGCTAGAAGGCCGTATCCGTGGCATGCATAATGCCAGGCACCCAAAATGGTTTCACAGAGCCTCACTGACATGGTACACCAAAAATTGTGCAGTGGGGATACCAGGTCTGAACTCGACTCCAAGACTGCGTGGCCCTGGGCAGGTTACATACCCTTTGTTTACCTCAGTTTTCCCAGTACCTCAACCAGTGTTTTCTAGGTTGAATGAGTTGGCCAGTGTGTGCTTTTTTTGCATAGTGTGTTTGAGTCTTTTCCACTTTATCTTACTGTTTTGTTTCTAGGGCCCACTCTATATATGTGTGGAACTAGTGGTGTCAGTTCAGACTGCTGTACAAAGTACTATAGACTGGTCTTCATGAATGTGCAAACCACATAGATTTTATTTCTTATAGTGCCTCAGGCTGAAAGTCTGAGATCAAGGTATCAAAATGATTGGCTTCTAGCGAGGCCACTTTTCCAAGATGGAAAGAGAACAAAGGGTTAGATTCAGTAATAAGGTCACTGATCCCATTTACAAGGCCTGTGCCCTTGTGATCTAGCTCTCTTCCAAAGACCTCACCTTCTATTATCACCACTTTGGGGGTTATGATTTCAGTAGGAATTTTAGGTGCACACATATTCAGTCCTTAACAAGGTGTAGTAGAAATAACAGGCTGAAAAGGTGAAGGGAGAGTAGGAAGGAGGAAAGGAGAATGAAAGAAAGACAAACTTTCAGGATTGTCAAAGTAAAATATGTGCATCCCCAACATGGTTTAAATGGACACATTTGCTTTGCTCCTGTCAAAACGGGCCCTTCTCTTGTCCCAGCTGTGTGTCCATTTGCTTTCTTGCTATCAGAGATGCTGGTACCCTTGTGTTTTAAGGAAAGATTACTCTTCGAGTCTTTTTACACAGTAACTCTCTATAACTCTTCCATAACCCAACACTTTAATCTTAGAAAGATGTGTAAATACTGAATAGTTTCTCTGGTATGAATAAACTATAATAGTACCTAAGATCCTAATGATATAATGGACAATGTGAAATAGGAAGAAAAGGGCTAAAGGTGTAGGGAAAGTGGGAAGGGTGGGGGAAAGCTAATAAGGGAAAAGAAAAAATATGAGAAAATGAAAAAATGGAAATGAAGTGTTTGTAAATGGGGAGGGGAGGAGGGGTGAAGGGAGGGCAGGGACAAGGGGACAAAATGAGAACCAAGACCTGTCATGTAAAGGTACAAGATCCCAATAATGAATGTTACTGTACTGTATCCCTAAATGTACCAATAAACTCAATGAGAAAGAAAAGAAAAATAGAATTAAGAACTTTGGGTGTCTATGTGTGAATGTCGTGCTCTCTAAGGACTTCCCCCATTGAACTTAGAATATAAATTTACCCCCTTTGAGGTTCAGTAAGCATTAAAGTCGGGAAACTCTGATTTCATACCATCAAAGTTAAAACATTGGAGTTAGTTGACTGCCAGTTTTTATCTCTATTTGCCAGAGGTAAATATATAAATCTTGAATAATATATCAATTATTTAAGGATAAATCTTCTAAAAGAGAATTGTTACTAAGTAGCTCTTTTGTTCTTCAGTGTGATACAACAGAAGCCTGGTTGGTGTGCAGCATTTGGAACCGGAGTACGAACCTTGTGTCACTCGTGTGTTCTCTTTACATTTAAAGGATGGAGAAATAAGTACAATACCTGGCTCTCAGGGTTGCACATGAGTTCAGGAGCTAAGATACATAAGGAAGAGTACTCAGTGGGCTCACTGAGTGTTGCTTCTGAGGACCTCACCTCGTGCCTGATATTTTTCGTTCCAAACGCTAATTTAAAAACTGGAAAGAGTAGAGGTAGTAAAGGACAATGATAGCATAGCAATGTTTCTAGTACATTTCATTTATGACTTTGCTTTCACACAGTAACTGAAGGACATTTTTAGTCATCTGCTTGCTAGAAAGCTCACCTTCGGTTTCTGTGTGGCAGCACTGTAGAGAGTGCAAAAACAGGAGAGGGCAGCAGAGAGTCAGAGATGCCCGAGCCAGGCCTAAAGGGACAGAGATGCTGTGTTTCTGGAGGAGAGCCATGTCGTGGATGGTGGTCTATCCTTTCATTTGTAGATGGTATTCAGAAAAGTGTTCTGTGGCTACCTTTTAAAACTTTATTGTATCTTCTCAATCTCACTTTCAGTATGTTTCTGAATTTCTATATTTTCATCCTTTTAATTGTAATCATCTTCAACGTGAGGGTTTTTGAAAGGTGAAAAAACAGACTTTATGACAAAAAAAACTACTTAAATTTCTTTGTTTGAAAGATGGAAAAGCAGACTTTAGGACAGAAAATATTATTTAGTCTCACAGCCAAGAATAAGCACATCCTTTTCTCATGTCCAGGGCTTCTATCCAATAAATCCATCAGAAGAAGGTGGCTTTCAGACTCATAGAAGTACATGTGTTAGAAAACGTAAAAGAAGTATTAAAGAATATTAATTTCTGAGTCAAGGATGCAGCATTGGATTATTTCGCAGGCATTTGAGCATTAGAAAATATCTTGTTCTAGCTTCTCTCTAGATATATTTTTACAGTTAGAGGTATTTTAATTACATCCACTATTTTTCTACCCTAGATGCTAAAATATAGCCAGCATAAGGCAAAGAACTTTGGATTTTGGAGAAAACAAGGTCTCCTCTCCAAAGAAATT